CCCCCCCCATACTGCACTGCATATAGATTCAGCCAATCCATTCCGTCATACATTGCAAACTATTGCTGGGGGTTTTCTTTTATTTAGAATGGGGGAGGTGCAGTTTTCTAAATCCACATAATAACACTTTGTCCCAGTTTGTGGTGCTATTTATTACACACGGATTGCGATTTTTTCATGATAAAAAAACATCAATTGTTGCAAAACTTATAATATCTATCTCTCAGAAATGCTCCGTTTCTGGGTCTCTTTTTTCCACATTGTCGAACTCGATAGCATGAAATTATCATAGTAGATGAGGCCAACTAGTAATAAATTCGCTGTACGATAGTTGGGTCTTTCAACAACTGCTAGAAAGAACTTTTTTCATCCATTAAAACTACCTACTCACGGGACAGGAGGTTTGAATATTTCATATGCACACATTGCATGATGTTACCTGACGTTCGTACTGTTCTCATTTTCGGTTATTCCACATTTTCACGTGTATTCAATAGTCGACAGCAATTACTCCAATTACCTGAATTATTGACAAACTGAAAATGCCCATAAAAAGACAAAAAATGGAAGAATGAGTCATAGTAAAAAAATTATAAAGAAATGCCTCATATCCTTTTATTTAGGTTTTTAATTCATTCCTTCTACGGAAGGCGGAAATAAAAAAACTTTAACGAAGGTTGTAACCAAGTTAAATTATGCCCGAACGCACGCGTTCACGTACCCACAATTGATCCTTTTGCCCGTTGGCTCGGTCAACACACATATTACAATCTCGCGGCGTTTTACACTGGGTCCCCGAAGGCCATGATACCGTGTTTGAGATGCAGGCCTGTCTCTCTATGCGACCTTAGTCTCCTCACTTCCGTCAGCTGCGGGCTAATGGTGAATAATATATAATCATACTCGTTTCACCTTTTTTTTCTCACATTCTCCCCTGAATTTTTTGTCTCATTACCCAAGTCTCGGGCTTTTGGTACAATGATGGTGGCATGAAAAATTGCACATCCTAATCGGGTAACCACTCAACTCGCCAAATGTGTTGATCAGTTTTTTTTCTGCCTTTTTTTTTTTCAATTGAATTCTGGATAATTCATCGCTGAATGGAAATAATCCAAGTGGATTATTCATTATCAACGCAATTGGGTTTTTTGTTCATTCGGAAGGTGTCACTGGGGTACACACAGAGTTAACCCATTGGGTCCAAACTCAAGGATCGTGACGTTTGCACACGCAAACGAATGGCAAAGTGCTCTTGGAGCTGAGCTCTCCTCTGTCGCTTCCTAGTTCGTTCAACACACGTCCCTGAAAACACGGAATTGTCATTTCGTACTGGTTGAAACGTGAGAAAGCTCAGCAATTGGATTGTTTTTATCCCATGCATTTTCCTTGTTGTTTTTGTTGTGCTTCAGAGGTCTGTAGGTTTTTCTACTTCACTGTTGAACTTCAATTCGATGTACTCCCTGTCTATGGAATACCGGCATAAAGCGCTGAGCGGGGGCCCTATCGAATGCATGTGAAGGAAAAAGGTAAATGGGCAAATGCGCTCCCGTGACTATTGTTGCGGTAGGTTACACCGGAAATGGTAAAACGAGCCTATCACGATTACAGGGGAAATTACAGAGGCGACAGAGTCTTAAACGGAAGTCGTATAACTGCTTGCTTGTGGGATATAATGGAATGATTTATCGGTTTGTCTGAAATTGTTTTATGAAGACAGAAGTATGGGTGAGGTGAGAAAAATGAGGAGGAAAAGGATCTACATAATTCAACGATTATTTTTTTTCTCATTTTTTTAACTCT